GAGGTACATCACTTTAAATTCAGGCTCCATGGCACACAAACTATGTGACCCAAGGCAAGTTAGGAAAACATAATCTCCCCGCACTTTGGCTTTTTCATCTGTAAAATGTGAATATAGTAATACTTATCATTCATACAGTAATTTTCCTTTAAATACTTAAGTATAGTGTGATGTATACACACAAATGTATATGCCTGTACATGTGTGTGTGTCAGTTAATTTTCATCTGCACTTATGGGATGCTTAGATTGCTTTTGAATTACACCTCCAGAGGGTTTGCTAATCAGCATTTGGTTGTTAAAATACTTTTTCATTGGGGAAATACATTATGTTCGAGATACGGGTTTAGCTAGAAATTTACGTGCATCGCTCTCCCTTTGAAGGTGTAAGACAGAGAATCTGGAAAACTCAGCAGTCTGTCTTTTGGAGGAAAGTACTCTAGGTCTAGAGTTCCGTGTGGTCCTGTGTCTTCCACTTCACGGAGTACTCCTGATCCAACTAAATGGCTGGCTATTTCTCTCTTTGGAAAGTCATTGTTCCAGAGCTGATAATCAGTGGGTATTCTGTAGTACAGCCCTCCTGACAGGGTATCTTCTGATTAGGCCATCATTCATTCATTCGTAGTAGGTGTCCATGCCGTGATCACTGTGAAATATTCTGAACTTTACTCCTACTCATGCCTAACTTGGAACAAACATTTATCCACAGTGTCTGTTTAAGTGCCTGACAATAGAGAGCAGGGACTTTACTAAGCTTACACCACCACACTGCATGACTGCTTTTTTGCCGTCTTTACAAATAAACATATGTTTGTTAGATTTTGGTCATTATAACAGCTTGCATTCATTCCAATGGATGACACAGTGATGAAGTTCTCTAAATTCAGAAATAGTTGCACATGTGAAATAAAGATTTATGTACAAAGACACATCAGCTTTAACCACTTTCCAAACTGGCCATAGCCTTCCAGCCCCATAAGAACTACTTCTCTCACCCTTTTTCTGATCTAAAACACTAGTCAGCAGGTTAGAGAGGCTAAGTGAAGGGAAAGGGGACAGGAAGCCAAGCAAAGGCAGCATGGCACCCTTCCCTGGGGGAGGCAGCTGCCAGCTACAGCCCGCTGCTTAGGTGAGCAGAGGCAGAAGTCTCACTTTTCATGAAGACTGAAGCATTGCTGAATAAATTAAACTGAACATACTTTAATCACTGAATCCAGACTGACTTTTTATGACGTAAAATAATTATAGGCCTGTCTATTACCTAAAGGGTGAATGAGAAAGTCATGGGATCTGTCCAACTTTTCCCTCAGAGCCAAAGTAAGTTTACCCACACTGAATACTTGTTAAAGGAATAGAGGGAAATAAAATTAAAGTTTTGTTCTAATTTCATCATAAATTATTCTATTCAACTTTATGTAATAAAATTAAATATTGCCATCTGCTTTTGTATGACTGCAAGCCAAGAATCGTTTTACATTTTAAATGAATGAAAAAGTTAAAAGAAGAGTATTTCATGTATGATATAGTATCTAATTTTATTACATTAAAATATTACAAATTGTGTTTCTCCTCTTTAGTATAACAGGTTTGATTAAGGGGATTCCTGTGTACATAGTCACAAAATGGTTTTCTTCTTTCCATGAACTATTATCTGTATTCTTTTGAAACTGCCTCTATTCTTTCCTATTATATATAAACACTTTAATGTTGTCTGTAACTAATTTCATAACACATTCAGTCATTTTTAGTTATTAAAACAGCTTTATTATATTACTAAAACTTAGCTATGTGTTCCTTAAAGCTACAAAGTTCTCCCTCTTCCCAGTTACTTCAGTAAGAGTTGGAGGCAAGGGCAGTCTTTTCTTTCACAGTCATTCTCCCCCCATTCCTCTCCCCAGTGGTTTCTCCAAATAGACTGCAGATCCCTCTCTGTTAACCGCCACTGCTAATCCTGCTTTTGTAGTAAACTCAGCAATACTGGGGCCAAGTGATAAGGAATTTAAATTGCTACTCGAAGAGCTGGTGGTCCATTTTTAGGAGAGATTACACCTACCTCTTCTTCCCAAATTGCAGGCATCACACAGATGCCTGCTGCGTGTACCTCTTCACTCCTCAGTGCAGTGGCATGTGGAAAGCCTGCAATCCCCAATGTATTAACACTTTGTAGTTGACTATAGACGTGGCCTTGAGGCCTGAGCCTCAATATGCCAGTCCTTATCCCCTCTACCTGGCTAAATTGTCACCCTCATCTCTCCCCAATGCTGTAACTGTAGGATTTGCAACCATCTACTGTTAAAATCCACATAGTCAATATTTTAGGCTTTGCAGACTGTATGTCTGTCACAACTACTTAGTTCTACCATTGTAGCTCCAAAGCAGTCATGGAAAATATATAAATGAATGAGCATGGCTGTGTTACAATAGAATTTTATTTGTGAACTGTTGAATTTCACATAATTTCACACATCATGAAATACTACTCTTAATTTTTTAGATCATTTAAAGTGTAAAACCATTCTTAGCTTGCAGTCATACAAAAGCAGATGGCAAGTGGATTTTGCCTGCTGCTGGTGGTTCAGCCCTTGCTGTCCCTCATCCCTGCAGCTTTAAAGTTAAGGGAAGCAAGCCTGTATCTTAATCAATATCCAATCTTGCAATGAAATACCTATCTCCCTTTCTTGCAGTTAACCACAAACTTTGTAAGCAATTCTCTTACAGAATCCCTTCCCCACCAATGTCAGCAAAGGGAATTAGTTCAGTGCCTCCTCCATTCCCTACAGGAAAGCTGGAGGTCATTTCTCTCTAAGAATAGTACACTCTTTCCTCCTATTACAGTAATATCCCTGGGCCTCCCTGGCAGTTCTTGATAGTAGAGGCCACCAAAACAGCAGAGTACTCTTCCCTGCAAACTAGATGCCTCTCTTGATCCTGGAGTATGTAGTAATTCCTGCACAGTTCAGTAAACTCGAGGATAATTAAATGTCAGTTAATGCCTCACATGGCTGTTACATAATTTAAAAATCAGGAACACTAAGCCTCTTACTTTTCCTTTAGAAAATTATTTTTTCCCAGACAGGGCCCTCAATTGAACTTCCAGGTGGCTTAATACTTCTGTTGATGTGTTTAAATAAAGCAAAATAAAAGTTGATTTTACTAACTATAAGAGTCATAGAAATCAGGGAACATAAAAACCAGTGTCACTGTCAGATGCTGCCTGCCAGCCTTTCCCAGCACAACCGACCAGAGCAGTCCTGGAATGTCATCAGGCTCTCTTGATGACCTCAGAGACCTCCTTACAGGCAAAACAATGAACAGAAGACCAGAGTTAAACCAGTGATCGTGGGGTTCATCAAAACTGCATCTTCCAAGCTTTAGTGGTCAATGGTCAGCATCACTCAGGGAATTCGCTACTAAGATTTCCACAGACAACAGATCATAAGACCTCAGAACAGAGTGAAGACTAGACAACATTCAATATGCTGAATGTGGATTTGACTCTATCTTACTTGAAAAACTGAGTTGGAGACATAGTTTCATGCCCTGCATTTTCTCTCTGTAGCAGCTGGCCACTGGCTGATGCTTCATGTACAGAGCCTTTGCAGCAGAGATTCTTTAGCGCTTTGCTGCCTTCCTACAAAAAAATATTTCTGATAGTCTTCCAGATTCTATTAGTCATTAAAAAAAGAAAACTGATCTATTATAATTACAGAGATGTTTATGCATGTTTGGTTGAAAATAAGACTATTTTGCACCCCACAGTCATGTTATAAGCCATAAAAGCTAACCCTCTTCCCCAGTGTGCACTCTAAAATTATGACAAGTAATTTTGTGTAAGTTATCTATTTTGCTGTGTGCTTGCCATGATGTTATCTCTAAACTTTGAAAAATTTAAGGATGGATACTTGTTACTCAATAGCACATGACTTGTGTATCTATGTAATATTTGATTGATGGTACTAGATGGAAGATCCACAGTTATAGACTGCACGCTAAAATTACATGGGTTTTTAGTGAGATAAGTGAGGGTTTTTAAATTTTCATTTTCTAATGTCTACAATAATCCTACAGCACTGTATTTTCACAAACAACTTTTAAATCTTATGAAATAGAGCAATTATCATGATCAATTTTCAAAAGAAGAAACCAGAGCCAGCTCAGACAAAAAGGGTAGAAGCAGAACAAGCAGGCCCTGATTTTTCTGATTCCCAGGTTAGTATTTTTTGGTCTCTGCCATGCCTTCTGGATCAGTTCCTGAGGCAAGTTGGCTATGCCTCCAGAGAACTTTATGAGGGCACTTAATGAAGGCAATAGAAATAAGGTACTAATTACCTAACATTCCAGACACAGAGTAATTTCGAATTTAGTTTTGATGCTTGGGTCCATCTTTAGTTTACTTGACTGACTGTACTTTTTTCTTGTATTCCAGTCATGTAATTTATGGACTCACAGCTAAAAGTAAGGAATCTGCTTAAGAAATGGCTTTTCAGTCTTCATGTTCTCTAGTGTTTTATCTCCAACTTGGACCTTTTCCCAAGATTTCTGGTGGGGAACATGCCTCTTCCTGCTTTTGGTTTAGACAGAAATTTCTTCCTTATAAGAGAAAAACCAAGCCACACATACACAGCACAAACTGAATAATGCTGCTAGCTTTTAAATGCTTTAGTACATGGACTTTAGTATCTTTAGTGATAAATATAATCCAAGTTAGCACTCTGGTCACTTAAAAAATGAAAGATTTCTGAAACCTCACAAAACAGTGTAGTGTGCAGATAGAATTAGTTTTCTTCTCTTTTTGAAGCAGTCACCACAAACAGTACAGTCCATCATTTGAGCCTTCATGGCTGCCCTACAGTTTCTCAAAGGCAGAGAACAGATGAGGCAGGCTGCAGAGGACGTTCGAGGTTAACTGCCATCAAACCTTATCCGGCAAGCTGCCTGCGGGTGGCAGTACACGGAAGCGCAAATATGCTTTAGAACTTCAGCATTAACCTACGATTAAATTCACATTTTATTCACTTACAAGGAAATTACATTTAAGAAAGTTACCTCTATATTAATTCCTAACCCATTCAGTTATTTGTAATCTTATCAGAAAACTTTGTATTAGGTAGTTACTTTTTTACTGTTCTGTTACTTAAATGTTATAACGTACTTTAATGATTCAAAAACAAGGGTGATGGTTGTATATTGCCACATTTTAACAGAAAAGTAATTAACTTGAATTTCTAAATTAGAAATGATGAAAGGTGTAAATGTCTTTAAAAAGAATGGTATACATACAAATTATGGTTTTGTAACAACAAGCAAGAATGTGATATAAAGATACTAGTGCTTTAAGACCAAAGCCAGCTAGACTGACTCTAAGAATCAGCTCTTTTAGTTCATTAAAGTATATTTCACAGCTGCAATGATGTGTCTGGCACTGATTCCAAACACATCCAGCAATTCATTAGGTTTCCCACTTGAGGCACTCCTGACACTGCCAGATGATGAACAAAGATGTCAGGCTCCATGGAGACAGTTGCACAGACAGCTTCTCCCAGGCTGCCTTCTAGGTAGGGATCCTCCACTGTGACACCTGGCCACCCGTCGCTTTTGCGTTGGAGAGGATGGTGGCAGCATCCAGGGTTCAATGGTAAATGGGTCGATGATACGGATGGAAATACCTTGTTGAAAAAGATCAGTGGCTGCTAAGGCTTCATGCAGGGTAACTCCAGCTCCAGTAACTGTCACTTTGTCATTGACACTATGGCGGATGACCTTCGTCGGTCCAATCTCAAAACTCTCTTGTGGGGTATAAATAACAGCAGTTTCTGGTCAGCTGGTCCCAACGAAACACATTCTTTTCATATTGGCAGCCAGATAAACAGCATGCTCTGTTGAGATGGCATCACTTGGATAGAAAACAGTGCAATTGGGAATGCTTCGGAACATGGCTAAATCCTCTAGGGCCATCTGGGAGGGTCCATCTTCACAGACGGATACCCCCCAGTGGGAACCAATAAGACTAATACTGGTTTGAGGAATGACTCCCATGCGGATCTGATCAAATGCTCAGGTCAAAAAAAGCAGCAAAGGTACTAACAAAAGCAATGGTTTGACCACGTGTGGCACAGCCCAGTGCCACACTTAACCATGTTTTGCTCAGCAACAAAACACTCAATAACAGGGTGTTCTTTCTTGACTATCTCAGAAAGGGTGGAATTCTTGTGTCACCATCCAGCACAACAACTCTTTCATTTGTATGGCCCTGTTTAGACAAGGCCAAACCATATGCTTTTCAATTAGCTATCCTGTCACCAACTGCATAATCAGGTGGACAGATCATTTTTATATTCTGAATGTTGATTTGAGGTGAGTCTTCAACAGGGGGTTTCAGTATGAGATATCTATTGGTCTGTATTTCTTAATTAATTTGATGATTGCATCTGCCCTTTCTTTTGGCACTGGCTTCCCATGCCAGTTTCTTGTGTCCTCAACATTTGGAATACCCTGGCCCTTGAAGGTCTTGGCAACTATGGCAGTGGGCTTGTTCTTCACTTGGGCTGCTTGCCATGCACCTGGCACAGTGCCTCCACATCATGGCCATCCACTAGGTAAGTGTTCCACCCAAAGGCTTCACGGTGGTTCTGATAGACATCGGTACAGTGCTCAAGGGGTGCCACCCCACTTTGTCCCAAGCGGCTCACGTCGAGCACTGCGACTAAATTATCCGAACAGTAGTGGGCAGCAAAGGCCAAAGCCTCCTAGACGAGCCTTCTGAGGACTCGCAGTGTCCCATACGGCAGAACACGCGGTTGCTGGCCTCCTCGAAGTACTTGCCGGTATGAGCCGTCCGGCAGGCGGCGCCTAAGCCTTGCCCTGGTGAGCCTGTCGCCACGTCAACAAGGGGCGATCTTGAGGTGGGGTGTCCCTCCAAGTCGCTGTGCATCTTCCTCAAGCTCAGTCGGTCGGCCTCGCTAAGGAGGCCCACGTCTGCCCAGGCCGCAGAGAGGCCTGGGACTGCGCGGCCTTTGGAGGGAATGGGCCTGTCGCTGCGGGGCTGTTTTAGGTCCGCCCGTTTATGCCTCACCACGTGGAAGAACAGCACGGCCCGATCTCGGCCCCGGAGCAGGCCGGCGGCACGGTGGCCCTGGCGGAGTGGGTCCGCGCGCGGTTGGCCGCGCCCCGCAGCGCCTGCGCAGTGCTCGCGTCGGGCTGGGCGCTGCTGTCGGCGCCCACGGCGGGGCGCGTCTCCTTCCCCGTCGGCAAACGCGCGCGGCGACCCCCGGCAGCTCGTCCGGCCCTCGTCCCGGCGGTGCTGGGGGACCCGGACGCGCTCCGCGGCCTCACCGCCCAGCGTCTCCTCCTCCGCTTCCCGCTTGGCGTCCTCCGCGCGAGTGGCCGCGGTTTGTCATTTACTTTGTCACTTGCATGTTCACAGTTACTAAAAATAATTACATTTCTTTATACCTTTCCTTATGTTACTATTTCAAAAGGAGGAAAGGGGCATTCTTATATTCATGTATATTAGGAAGTTCTTTGTGAGGTTGTGCTTTTTAACGCATTAACACTGATCTGGGACAACTGTTTTTTAGCAGAAAACTGAGAGAAATCATCCAAAGGCACTTTCAAGCTAACCATTCCAGCAACACTGTCAACGGAGACTTTCTCAGAGCTACTGAACATTCTAGAAGTTTTTATGTATTTATAGAAAACAGAATAACTATTTGACTACAAGTTACGGGAAGAAAGAATCTGTAACCACTCAAGGGCCGAGTAAAACTGCAATTTTCCCAGTATACCTTGAAATGCTATTAAACTTTCTCAGAGCTACTGAACATTCTAGAAGTTTTTATGTATTTATAGAAAACAGAATAACTATTTGACTACAAGTTACGGGAAGAAAGAATCTGTAACCACTCAAGGGCCGAGTAAAACTGCAATTTTCCCAGTATACCTTGAAATGCTATTATTGTTACTACAAATAATTTTTAAAACAAAATTTATTTACATAAATTATAAAACTAAATTTGTGTCGTTGAGTTCTTCCAGCAGGTAAGGGTTTATAGCTTGTCATAAAAAAAAATACAATGACTGTATCCTCTTTGATTCTCTGATGTTAAACATCTTCATTGTTGAGCAATAGTACTTAACATTGGCTTCACATTAAAATCATGATACTGGGGACAAAATGCAACAAGAATAAAACAATTGTCTGGGTTCCACCCTGGACAAATGAGTTTGAATCTAAGAAAGTAGTCTGGGAAGCTATTATTTTCTTTAATGCATCTGTTAATTCTAATGTTTAGTCAAAGTTAAGCACAGATAATCTGTAGATAGACCAGTGTTTCTCAACATTGGTTATAGTTTAGAATTATCGGGGAAGTGAAAACAGAAAAACAACAAACAAAGAAAAAACAACTCATATGCAGGCTGCACTCTAAACAAATTAGAGTTTCTGGGGGATGGACTTAGGTATCAGTAATTTTACAAGCTCCCCAGATCATTTCAGTATTTGATCAGGTTGTAAATAACTAACTCAGGGGGTCTTTATATGTCTCTTACATTATATTTAGAAAAATACTTTAAATATTATTTGCCATTTACACCAATTCTATCATTTTAATTTTTAAAAACATGTATTAGAATAAATGGCAATGTTATGAGGCAAACAAGATTTTAAGAGCTGCTAAAGGAGTGTCAGAGTTGGAAAAGTCCTGAAGAGACAGATAACCGTGCACTGATCACTCCCTATTCTGGTTGCAGATTGTCTGCTTATCTTTTTAGACAAATAAAAGAAGAGCAAATAAAAACAGACTAGATTACTAGAATTAAAGATGAAAATTAGAGAAAAAACTATTCACTGCATCATAATAGCAGACTACAAGGGGCTGACAGGAAAGCGGATCATACAAACACAGGCAGTTCATTACTGTGTTGGCTGAGGAGTGCTCCACTAAATCCAAGCAATTGGCAGATATGAAAGTATAAAAATGATCTATGAGGCAGTGTTCACATGGAAAAAAAGATAGAAATAAGAATTACTTAACATTTCAAGTTCCCAAATTCTTCATTTAAAATATTACACAACTATTTCCCAAATTATTAAATAGAAAGTTTTTAACAGTAAAGGTCAATTTTGTTAAAGAAAAGAATGTGGTCTTGCAGATTTAATACTCTAATTATAGAGTATAAATTTCCCTCTGTCATTTCATAAGGCTGTGTGGGTTTTTTTGTACTATATAGAAAATATTATTTTTTTGTAATTTTCTGTAAAATATTTTAAAGTATTCTGATATTTTTTTAAAAGGGAAGTCTAGAGAATTATATACACATTAATATTTATTTCGAGCATTTTAATTTTTTAAAATACATTTAACATATACAATTGAAAATAACCATATAAGCATAAAGTATGCATGATTTGATAATACAAAGTTATCCAGTGTGTCTGTAAACAGAACTTAGTCAAATAAATCAAAGACATGATACCACATTCCATTTCCACCATTTAGAAGAGGCTATAACTAAAAAGGGCCAGACAAACTTTTTTAAGTTAACATACCAAAAATGTAATTGTCTTGGAGAAAAGCCCATCACATTTTAGAGATCATTTTGGAAGATAGTTCAAAGTTCTCTACAAATAGGAAGAAATCATTCATTTATTAATTTTGGCTTATCCACACAAAATAGGGATTGTCAGACTCTAGTACCTACTGGACTGGGAGGTACTATGAGTACATGAATGTCAGAAGTAATATTGGTGTGGTCTATAATAAACTGGAGAACACAAGCCCACCTGAAAACATTCAAAATTGAAAAATTTGTGAATACACACACACACACACACACACACACACACACACCCCTTCAGGCTGCCAGTTTTTTACCCCTGATTTAAAGTTTGTTAAAAATAAATAAATGTTTTGTTTCAACTTTCTTTAAGATTTTACTATAATTTTTTTTCTCATAGTCTGGAACAGTATTTACTATAGTATGTACTCCAAATGAAAATAAAACCTAGCAGAATCACTAGTGTAAATAGCTATGGAAGAAAAACTATAAATAGCTGGAATCAGTAAGTGTAATTTCTAGTGATGTAGGGAACAAAACACATACTGATTACTCAGGAAATCTACCCTGATTGGCAAACATATACATTTTTGCTATGTGAAGATGAATTATATTTAGAGATTGGGAACACTGAAGTTTCACTTACATGTTATCTGAACTGTTGAATTTTGATAAAATTGAATTATACAACAGAGAGACACAAGTGCTGTATTCATCTTTTTTCTTCCATTCTTTGAATTTGGTTAGACTAGCAGTTTGATCATGGAGCAAGTGAAGGTAATATTCTTGTATAAGGCAGTAGGTTTTTTTCATGAATCATTGCTTTGAAAATTATGGCAGATGCTATTATTTCTTATCTTGCTTTTTCCATAGTTGATGGAGTCCTTATTTTGGGGGGTAGGGGGTAGGCAATATCATATTTAAGAAAGTAGGCCCACGTGCTAAAGTGTTTCTCTGATGAATAATGTACAGAATGGTGACTATAGTTAATATTGTATAGTTGAAAGTTGCTAAGAGAGTAGATTTTCAAAGTTCTCACCAAACAATGTACCTATGTGAGGTGACAGATATGTTAACTAACCTTATTGTGGTGGTAATCATTTCAGAATATACATACACACACATAAAATTGTTATATTGTACACCTTAAACTTACACAATCTTATTTGTCAATTAATATCTCAAAAAAGTTGGGGAAAGAATAAAGTACTTCTCTGCTAAGCCCATTTCTGTCTCTCTTAGTCTGTTTCTGTTGACTGATTTTTCTTCTGGTAATAAGTTACACCTTCCTGCTTTTCAAAATAGCTAGTAATTTATTTTTATTTTTCTTAATTTTTTTTTCACTAAATGCTGGGCATTATTTTGGGGGACTAGATTTTATTTTGCTAAATTATTTTAAAGAATGTTGGACTTTTTTCTAGTTGGCAACTTGTGATTTTAAGAATTTTAAGTTTGTTAAGACAGATATAAAAGCATGCTTCACTCTAGTGTTAGTTTGGCTCCAATACAAAAGCATAACTTCTCTGGTGTCTCCACTGAATCCTCTGAGTGTCAGCAAGGACCTTGCACTCTGGCTGGTCAAGACGGATGTGCTTCAGCCCCATGTGAGCTCTGGGAACTGCTTGATTTATTACTCCCAAGTTGTCATTTGCCTGGTCTTATAGAGGTTTACCTTCCACAGGGGCAGCCCTTTCAACATTTCTGAGGGCTTTCTCCAGGCAGTTGCCTCCATAAGTATCCTCCCTCCAAAATTCTAGCCATTTCAGCCCTCCTGAGCTCCAAGTTCTTTCTCCTTAGCTTAATAAGACTGCCATGCTGCGTGTAAGACACCCTTCTCTCTAGCACTGTCTGGAAAGTGCCTGAAGCAAGCCAAGAAGGTGATATGGCTCATCCCACTTGTTTTTCTACTTTCAAGGTCACAGTCCTGTGCTGCATATTTTCCAATATATGAGAACTATTGCCTTGTATATAGTTTGTCTAGTTTCTTGGTTGTTTATGGCTAGAAAGTAAGCCTCATTGCAGTTACTCTAACATTGCCTCAGAACAGTATTTCAAAATGTTTTCAATGTTAATACTTTAAATGGGACATATACTCTCCAGATAACTATAGCCTAAACTGCAACATCCTCGACTTTGTTTTCACACATTGACTTTACCACTCTGACCACAGAAGACTGGAATTTGGGATTCCTCATGCCACCAATTATTGCTAATCTGTTTGGTATCATTTTAAAAATATGTCTCCCAATGTACAGTCTAATGAAATCTTCATTATTAAGAACTATTTAAAAATCCCATCATTATAGTTAGTTAAATTTTCCAGAGACCTAGAACTGCTCTGTTAAACACAAAAACCTTTTGCATTCGGATGATTTTTAATTCTCTAAAACATCAAATATATCTGCCTTTCTTCTTACAAATGGTACTTGAAGCATTAACCTTTTCTTTGATGATTAGTGGTCATCATTATAAACACCAGCTATTACATCCTATTGAAATTCCATCAAATAAATCAAAATAACTATTGAGAATAATGCCTAAAGAAGGTTATTCCAGTATCTTTGTTCAGAATAAATGTTCAATTTTTATTACTATATTGTAGATATTTTTTCAGGTTATGTGGCTGTGGTAACAAAATGATACAAAACAAAAAATGAAAGTGACTCAAGCAAGATCTAAGTTCATTTCTCCCTCACATGAATGTTCCACAGATGATGACAGTGGGGTCTTACTGAGTCCTGGGTCCTTTCTGCAGTGTCCAGTCACTCCCTCAGATGTGCTTTATCTACAATGTTGACACAAAGTGTCCTGTTCACTTTATCCCCCTACAGGAAGGAAAAACAGAAGAGAGAGAATCAATTCCTTCCTCAGGAAGGGACCCAGAAATTATAAACTAATTTCTCCTATGCCATTGGTAAGGACTTATCCCCTAGACACACCCACATTAAGGGAGACTGGGTAATATAGGAGGGTAGCCATGGCTTTGTCAGAACCTAGGATGGCAGTCACAACACGAAGACAAAAGGAAGAACCAGTGCTGGCAGACAGTTTACAATCTCCACCACATATAATTTTAATCTTTAACTGTGGGCTGTGTAGACAAACACTTGTAA